TATATATAAATGCAATTTTAATTCAATTTATTGAATATTATAAAAAAATTGGTGTAGATAACAATACCGGAAAACATAAGGCCCCATTTCTTCAAAATGTGGTTTTGCACTTGCTGATGCATGAAATTCATGTGGATTTGTCCAGTTGAACATATAAAATTTAAAATACATTGGTATAGGTGTTTCTTTCCACATATCGTAACTCATAGATGTCGGTGTTAATGTTAATATCTATGTAAAAGAATATATGTAGATTATTAAACATAATAACACTTATATACACTGATTAAATAAAATTTTTATTCTCTTTCAACATATATCTTTATATACATACCTTTATGATAGCCCAATCATATATGTAAGTAGTCCAAAGTGATCCTGTGATTATGCCAAGAAGTGTGATTATTGTACCGACAATTAAGATAACTAAAAATTTCTTATTAGATCTCTCCATTTTTATTGGAATTACAGGTCTGAAAGCCGTAAACAAATAATAATCATTAGTTGTCTTGTTACTTTTGCGAGAATATAAAAACTTCCACTCGCTACAATATTATAAAAATTGAGTCGATTGTTAAATTTTTTGTAAAAGAAAAGCAATTAGAAAATTAGAATTATTGAGACAACATACAGAAATTTCATATAAAATTATAAGATGACTATCTTGTAAATACATGTTAAAATAAATAAAGCTCAACGATAAAATACTATATTAGTAAACTATAAGGTAATAATATTTTATAAATATTCTTCTTTATATAAATATAAAAAAAAAAGAATTTTATATAAAAATTCATCTCTCAGAAAGTTTTGCTTTCGCAGCATGATTATTAAGGACAAAAAAGAATTAGGCAAATTACATTTTGTCAAAAATATTTTCCAGACTTCCACACAAGCTTCAGTTTTGCACTTGTTTGGTTTTTCATATATTATAATCAATTATTATTACTATTAAACCACACAAAGAAAGGTAACACAACTCTTACAAACTGAACATGCTATTATACTCTTTCCTATAATTATACATGTATAACTATAGGAAAGAATAAGTTATGTGGCCAACCATTCATGACATTATGACACAGTGAATATGTGTTTGACAAACGTCAAACGTCAAAATAGTCTGATGAAATATGATAGCATGTATCAATTGGTCAAGGTAAACATCTTTCGTGAAACGGTTGCGTGTAATATGCTGCATAATAATTATGGTAGTCGTAATCAGATGGAAATCAAGTATTTTAATGACCTGATTATTCGCATGCCCCTATTTCAACTATAAAAATCGGAAATCTTTCGATCTTTTATTATCCTTTGTTTTTGTGCTTGTGGAATATCTTAAAATATATCATAATTCGTGTATCACCATATATCACGTATCACATATCAATCGGAACGTATAAGCAAACATAATTAATTTTTTTATATAAATCTATCTATCTAATCTTGGAAATGATATTCATAAAATCAGGCTGGTGTTTTGTAAAGTTATATATATCGGGTGTACACTAACCTATCTTACCGTATTTATCGTGCTACATCGACAATCGAATAATTAAAAACAACGAAAAATTGTCTCGTGTTAAAATGCTCGCGACAAAATTTATGGTACGCATTGAATATGATAGATTGCAGCTTTTTCACGTCTATGCATGCAAATTTCATAATATAAACATTACGCGCGACGGAAGACATGAATTACTATGTATAGATTTCTATTTTTCTTTGTGTTCGATATCATATGTTACACTTCCTACAGAAGAGAGAAACGTAAAGTATCGTAGAGAGCTTAAAAATGAATAAGATTATAATTTTTTCCTTGTAAATGAGTAATGTGTATAATAATGGTATATAATTAGATATTTTGTAGAAATAAAAAGACGAAGAGACGAAAAATAAAAAGTACAAAAATTGCAATTAGGAAAGAATAAATCTAAAATAAATACCCAGACAGCACAAAACGTCCTCAGGATCATCCTGATTTATATATCCTATTTATGTATGTCCTGGATGCCCTTTGGACGTCCTAAGGACATCCTTGTGCTGTCTGGGTATTGAGACTGAAAATAATAAATTTTAATATTGCTTTTATACAGGGTGTCCCAGAATTCGCGCATTCGGAATGCACAGCGTGATTGTCCGTGCCAAAAGAAACAACTTTTTTCTCTGGCAAAATTACGTCTGGACAATACTTTTTAAATGAGAGTAATTTTAAGTTAACGAATGAGCGCTCTAGGTTACGCATGAATCAGGGATGGTGCGCGAACGGCGTGCGTGGCGCGTGAGCATGTTGTACGCTATTTTATTATTTCGCTAAAGATTTTATAAGAATTATACATGATATCTAAATATCGCTATTTTGAATACAACTTACTTAATAAGAGAACATTTTCTAATTGATATCACCGAAGCAACGATTGAAAAGTAAAATAAGTAGATTAGATAACACGTGAATAATTTTGATCCAAGATTATTGTTCCAACATTCTAAAAATGGATTAACCAAAACTAGATAATTTTTTTATAATTCAGACTTTGCACCGTGATATCCAATTAAGAGCACGTAGAGCAAAATATAAAAACATTTTCTAAAGAAAATTATATAAATATAATTCACACTCAAAATAAGCTATCGATTAAGCCTATTAAGAACTCGATCCGTTATATTCAGTGGTTAATTTGAGATTTGATAAGTTCGGATATTCTCAACTTTCAGACTCGCGTGCAAAGATACGGTGCGTCTTGCCGTTGCTGCGCGCAACTTTTTATTACACGTGAATTGGCGCCAGACACTACCATATGTCTCTTGATAAGAAAATACAGAAATATAATTTATTTATTACCGATTCCTAAGTTTTTGAACTACAAATTATTTGTAGATATCTTTTATTACTTTAAACTATATATTAATATAAAAATATTTTATTATAAAATGTTATTAACTATTATAGAAAGTCTATACATTATAATATTCATAACATATAGACCTTATTCATTTGCATTCAAATTCAGGCTTAATCTAATACAATCTTATCGTTTTCTATCCATTATTTTAAGCAGGGATATAAATATATAATTATAATATAATTTTAAGAGATTTTTCAATTAAAGTAAATTTTTCTCTATAATAATAAATATATCAATTCTTAATGTATCGTAAATTTGAATATTGAAGATTTTTTATTTTAAATTTATATTTTGCTCTTGTATTAGATTTGATGATTATATCGATTATATTATGATAAAAACATACGATATCTAATCTCAGAGAACCATAGAACAATCGCCTTTGGTAAAATATACAATATTCATATATGACGTTATTGTGCATTATGCTAATGTATTAATATTACGCTTTGCACAAAACGCAATGTCCAAATGACTTGCGCGTCATTGTTCTAAAGATTATTTTAAATAAATAATTACTTCGCTCACTTTAACGTGAGTATTTCAAGCAAAAACTTTACAAAAGAGGATTTAACAGTTTTAAGTCTAATAATATACATACAATAGAGAACAGGTTTATCCTTATATTATACTACATTATCCTTATATTATAAATACATATTAAAGAGCTTAAGTACTATTTTCCCAACGAGATCGAATAATATTTAAAAATTGTAGGAAACGTCAGATATATTATTAGAAGCAAAAATAATTAGAGTTTTATTTTGCTGTAAGACAGAAATATTATATCTCATGATTTTTAATTTTTTCGACATATTATATCTCATGATTTTTAATCTTTTCGTCGATCAAATTTTCAAGGATTAAGATATATATTTAAATTTTTAAGAAGAAAATATTACATTCACAATTTTGTTCAAGGGAAAGATTCTGAATATATATACTCTCACCGCACGGATGTCTGTGAAGCAATTGCCTGTCTGTGCATGTTGGGCTGATCTGGGACTGAGGGGTAGATTGCTTCAACCATTTTCCTTTTTTTGTTTTGTGATTCTTTAAACTTTAAAGACACATCGAAGAGAAGTAATAACGGTAGACGTTTTTTTTTCTCGAAGAACTAATCACTCAATGCGAATCCATGAAATCGTAAATTCTCGGGTTTTTATTTTTACATTTATCGTAACGTCGAAAGAGTTTTAATATTTGCGATAAAATAATACAATTGAGAAGATATATTATTTGCATATATCTTTTTATAAACACTTGCATGTGTTGGAATTAATCGTATCGAGGAAAAGAAATAAATAACTGTTCTCTGCAAAGTCTAGTCACTGATTGTCAATATATCGGCGAAGACAGTAATACAAATAGCATGGTACTCAATTTCGAGTGCTTTATCCAGATAAACTTAAGAATATTGTAGAAAACAATCTTACTTATTTTTATCATTGAGATAAGATTCATTTAAAGCAAATATGCAAGATATTTATTCGATCCTTGACATCGATTGAAAATGTGAGAATATATTTTATAAGAACTCGTTTCAAGTTTTCATAGCTATATTAGTGTAAAATTTCTAAATTTTTCTATATCAAACGGTAAACAATAATTTTTTTATATGGTATATCTAAAAAATTATTCCATAAATATCTTTTGCTTATTATTCAAAAAATAAGCCCTATTTCGAAAATAATACAAAACAACAATTTATCATCTACTAGCACTTATGCAATTAAATCGCAAAAGTCACATAATTTTTAATAAACTTCAAAAACAAATGTTTTTAGAGAGACATTATGTTTATGAAAATCTTTCCCCTCCTGTCTATAATATTTTTTTAATCTTTAATACAACTACAAACTTTGGCGTTTCAGCATCTTAAATTACATAAGCATATTAATTACTTAAATCATTATTATGCGTTCTCGCCTATTCTTTTTAAATATTAGATTCTTTCTAGAAACGGAATGTTGAACTTTAAAGCGCGTATACTTTTGAATAAAAAATATTGAAATAAAGATCCAAATAAATAGTCGATTCAGAAGCATAAAAATTCTTTTCCTAATTTTTTTCCAATTTTTGAATCAACCCCGAAATTCGTACATGTGATTTTTCCATATCTTGTAAACTATTAATAAAATAGCTTGTAAAATGTGTTATCTCTGTGCGTGAATTAGAATAAATTAGAATGAATTAGATCAAGATTTTACAGCAAGCTAAGGAGTCGAAATATTAGTGCGATTATATACCAGTGTCATATGGTTCTTTTAATACACATGTAAGGATCTTTTTGCTTAAATTTGTACCGTACTTTACACCAGGAGACGATGCACTATCTGCTAAAATAGCCTCGACAGTCTCAACCATATCAATAATTATAAGCTTCCGGGACAAATCGAAGAGAGAAGTGCAAGATTGTAAGATGAACGCGAGACATAAATCGAACGACAGACACGATGTATAAATGCACTTTGCGAATATTGAATCATAATCCAATGAATCAATGACTGATCATTCGGCGGAAGGAATATTGAGATTGCGAGTGGAAAAGATGGATTTTTCACGAATGTATTATAAATATACTTATCATACGCTGCTCAAAGTTCACACATTTATTCACGCGATCCGCGATACGCGATACGCGATAAATATGCGTTCGAAATGTATATAAAAAAGTGCATGCGACAATAGTTTTTAATTGCATGAAAATGAATCAACGTATGATTCCTTCCAAGGACATATGTTTAATCGATAAAATATAATTATTTGCGATGACACAGACCACAAATTCTGAAAAAAGTTTCTACTTATAAATTGTTGGTGATATACGGTTGAAAAAAAAAAATAGAAATCAGACATTTAAATGACTTTGGATATAGATAAACATTTCGTTGAAATTCATTTGACTTGCAGCACAAAAATAATGCGAATTCTCTCCAAATTGATATATGGCTTCTTAAGAAAAATATTCGGCGATTTAATTATATATTTGAATAATAGATTTGGTGCAACAAATTAAGACTACTAAATTTCGCTTGCTAAATTAAGTCAGGTATCTTATCTTGTACTTTACTACTATTTTTATTGCTACTTTTATTGAGTCAGACCAGTGACTTTTTATGTATGATTTTAAACGTGACGTTATACGCCATTATTATAATACCGTCATATTTATTTATAACATCGTCATGATTACTATGCAGATATTACACATAATCGACATCACGAAATATAAAAGTCCCTTTTTACTTTAACGATAAAATTTCTAGATATTTTCGTATTCTGTTAATATATATTTTCTTATCGGAGCAATTGTAAATTTATTTGCGTATTTCATTGCTCATCTCTGGAGACACATATGAATTCAAATGCATTGAAAATAATTGACTTATGTAACGTTAAATAACTTTTCGAAATTGCTTATTATTATTATTTCTTGAAAGAAATGGTTATAACATATACATATCGACAAAATATATTCAATAAAAAACAGTTTAGGAATAAATATGCATGTGTTAATTACTTGTTATAATTTTATTTTTTATTACATTACATTATTATACAATTTAGTATACCGCAATATGTTAGCGCGATTGCTCAATATCCTTCGCATACAGCACAAATATGCGTAAAATAGAAATGCGGAGAAATTGTTAAAGCGTGAAGTGAAAGTGAAAGACGAAGAGAAAATCTTCGAAATAATTGTACACATAACGTAGCATCACGGTTCGAGCAAGTCCAAAAGAAAGTTATCACGCATCCTGCTACGACAAGATATAGATAAACAAGCACAGTTTACGATTCGTTCGGAATTTCGAAGGCAAAATATTGTGATGTTAACAATGAAATACAAAGCATAATAACATGATCGCAAAAATAAATAAAATAATTAGACAAATTTATTTCTTCGTAAATTATTTAATTTTATACATTATAAAGAGAAATCTTTCCATAAATCTTTTATTTTTTCATAAAAAATATAGATTAACTCAAAATTAAAAATTAAATTTATGTTCCTTTATAAAAACGAATAAATTATAATATTATAATACTAATATAATATTAGTAATCCTCATATAGATCAGAGCCGTAGTATCATTGGATTCTTTTGTTATGATTCACGCCGATATAAACAGCGATTAATATACTTTATTTTGACAATGCACGCTCATCCGACAATTACAAACGCTCATCCGACAAATTTTTTATTCGCGGCAAATGACAAAAACAAAGTGTTATAATCTTTGGATCAATAAAAAGCGCTTCGTGCAAAACTTACAAAGTTTTAATATTAACATTTTTGATGACATGATAAATAATTCTCGATACCATCATTATAATCATAATCATTATCGCGGTCGCGTATTTCGTTTTGCGATGATGATTATCTCATCTCGACATAAAATCGATATTAAAAAGCAGATAAGGCATCCGATAAAAAGTCCAAAATGAATTGCAAAAATCAATAATAATAAAACGAAGAAAGAGATGTTTTTTTTTTCCTTACGCACCTGTTCGAAAGTAATCCTTACTTCTCTGCACCTGATGATGTACGGACAGTCCGACAAATCGCGTTCAATTCCTCACACCGCGATGTAACCATATGTAATGCGCGAGTTCCCGCGCCAACTGCACCGCTTAAGGAATCATCGTGGACTCGCACGTTGCAGCAATACATATGTATATTTCTACGTACGTGTACAATCGCGCTGCACGGGATTATATCGGTACGATAAACTTTCGAAAACATTGCAAAAACAATACACGAAGAGAAAAGATGTTATATTTATATAACATACATTGTTTGACTGCTATGTGACCATCCGTAGATCAGTGTTTTACACACTGAGGCCATGTGTGGCCCACCTTTGGATCATGAATATTTAAATTTCTGAAGCTATGTGATCTACCAGTGGATCCATCTTGTAAAAACTGAACACATTTCCAAATAATAGCCTGAATAATCAACTATTCAATTTCTGCATGGCAATCAATGTGTTAATAAATACATATAAGAAATTTTCAAGTAAATAAGGCAGAATTATAACTAAACCGGAATTATGTATAACGAGATGAAAACACGATTTATTTAACGTCAGGCGAATTATAATTGAAACAATCACTCTGCGATTTCGGCATTAATTACTATAGCTATATATAAATATATAAAGTGTTAACAAAAAATCCGTATGCTTTACACTGCAATCGATGTAACATGTTCAGTTCTATATAGTTACACATTATTGTAACTTTATTAAAAAGGCAGAGTGTAATTGGACCCGTGGTAACAATACAAATACTCAAAACTAGACTACACATTTGATATCACATATTGGACGGATTAAAAAATAGATAATATATAAATATAAGAGAGATGTATGATTTAAATTATTATTGAAGTACTCGTACTGTTCATGTCCTCTCGTAATTGCGTTCGATCTCGTACTCTCGCACACATTAAGCTATATTCTAATACGCCGATCCGAATGTTCATCTCAGAGATTTCATTCTTCATCTTTGTGATCGTCTTCTTTATGTTAATAAGAGGAGCTGCAAGAATATTTTAAAGCAAAATTATATTGAGATACATACCTAGAATATATTGGAATAATATCTAAATTTGTACTTGCTTCCATCAGTCATGCTGGATCCTCTCTCATCCATTTCCCTTTTTAGATGTTCTAATTCTTCCACTAATTTATTAAGAACTCTTGTTCGTTCTGTAACACCACCACTAACATCTCTATACTGCTCTTTAATTTTTGATAGTTTTTCCTAAATTAATTATTATAATTTATATAGTATTCTGTATATATGTATATGTATCAATATATGTGTGTATATGTGTAATATATACGCACAAATATAATAATGTATATTAAATAAATTCACCTGCAAAGAACGATATTCCGTTAAAGAGGGTTCGAGTTGCTTATTAAGAAAAGTTTCTCTAGTTTTGACTTTGTCTAATGTATTTCCGATATCGGTATAAATTTTATTTAAGCTAGCCTTTGTACCGCTTAGATCAGTCGCAATATTTGCACGCAGTTGTTTCATTTGCTCGAGATGTGCTCTCCAGTCTCTTGAATCTGTATAATAAATTATAATGTATAATAGTACATATACACACACATTTATTTTTCAGTTAGTAAATAATACTTCAAATAAATAGTCGATTTTGTACTATAAAGATATTTAGTACCTGTCTTAACAGTCACTTTCAAACGAGGTAGTACTTTTTCCAATTCCAACTGCCACTCATCCCTATTAGTATTAGATTCTAAAATATTGTCAGGTTTTTGTGTTTCACTCTGAAAGATAAAAGAGCAATTCAGGAACATAATAATATTGGTAGCAGGATTATTTACAATCTTCTATTTAGGAATAAAATTTGGCTTACCATATTATTTTCACTATATAATTTTGTAATGTCATCTATGCGTAAAATATCTTGTTCATCATCATCGTCGTACTCAGCCATCATTTCCTCTTCCACTTTTTCTAAAATTAGTTCCGCATCATCATCTTCAATATCTGGTTCTGGTGTAGGCTCGTCAGGTAGAATGTTTATCCTAATATTTTTAATTATAAATCAATAACTTATTCAATTTTATTAAAATTATGATAAAAGCATATCACTTTACTTTTTCCACTTGAATTTTTCCACTTTTAAAGCATTGTCAGCTAAATTATCCAACACATAAACCGCGTGTTCTCCTATACCCTGTTTAAGTTTATTAGGTGGGAATTCTACAGGTACATCAATTTCCCTGAGAAAATCCAAGATTAAAGCTATTGTGGAATTAGGATCATCCGATTCTTGCGGCATCTCAAAGTTTTTCCCAGCCTTTCTAATCAACCATGCAGCCAGACAAGTAAATGTATAAAATTGCTCACCAGGATTTGTAGGAATTACAAAGTAGTGTCTGTTGTCAATGTTGAAAATTAATGTATCAAATATTAAACAAGAAAAATATATTATATCTATAACATATCGTAATGTATCTTACCTGTTTATCGGTTTCATTCTTAACTCTTGAACAAATTCTGCATCGTAATTTAATAACTTTAATTTTTCCAATAAGTCCTCCATTCTCATATTTATGACATATGATGCCGATGGGGCAAGCCCATCCTCCACAATAATTTTTTGAGTATCTCTAAACATATTGCTGTGTATGTGAGTTTCCAATATATATTTTGTGTATATTAAGTCTGTAAATAGATCAATATTAAATACTCTTTAGATTGAGATATCAAATTATTTTTTAAATTAAAATGCTTAATTGTGTAACCTGAAGGAAAAGTAAAATTAATAATTATATTTTTTATAATTAAAATTATATATATATACTCACTATATAATTGCAAAGCAGATTTGCATAATCTAACATTTACTTCTAAATTCCAGTATGTTTTAAAATGCCGATATACCGCATCATTTACGTATCATAATGTCAACGTGAATTCAAATATGCACGGAACTAAAAAATTCGATCAATTGTCATAACATAATCCATCAATCGCTGGGATGTACGCTCATACAACTCATGAACTTATGTCAGATCAAGATAGGTTAAGATTAAGTTAGGTTTCTGCATTGACAGGCATTAAAACAGCATAAATATAAATCGAGAATTGATTCCTAGTTGCTGAGAAAAAAGTCCTATGACTGCTAATGTTAATACCAGCCTTATATACTAGTCGACAGTTTAGGATTGTGTATAATATTGCTAAACTGTGTTAGTTTCATTTTTATTATAAATTATATTTTTATTAATTTTGTGTCTGCATGCGAGACCAATTTATGCTACACAAACTATAGTCCTAGATTAATCCTAGATAATCTAGGACTCTAATACAAACTATATGCAAACCACTATTATACGCTATACTTTTGGAAAGGACGATAGAATCCATCACTAGATGGCCATCTCTTTGACCATTTATTTTTTGACGTTTAATATTTTAAGTAATAATCGCAAAATTCTTATTAATTATAACTGTGCGATATTAGATATCATTTTATAAACTGGTTTACAGAGATGCGTGAAGTAATATTTTATCGTAATAGAGTTTTTATAACGACAAAGAGACTGTGCAAGTTTCTCGCATGTGCACATCATCATATAGATTTGTATATATATTGCCTCGAAACATGTACTATCGGAAGCGTGTGCTAGTGATTGCACAACTGAACATCGATCGCTAACGTGAAATATTATGGCAGATCTGCTCAGTGGGTGTTATCACATTGTCGTAAGCTTCAAGTAGCTTCTGTATCAGACTCCCGATTGCGCCTGCATCTTCGTGGTTCGTTTTACGACCTCGGATTTGCACGCCTGCACGGTTGAGTCTTCACGTCGCTCCTCGAAGTACCGCGATTTCCAAATTGGGGGGCAATCGAATAGGTCAGACGAGGTAATTTGTCGCTTCCATATAAAGGCACCGCAGATAGTGGTACGCCATTTTTTGTATTTAACCACAATATATTTTTTATGTTTCCTTCCTTTACCTCTAATTTCTCTTTAAAATTTATGAAAATTTATGTTCAGTAATTAATAAGTTGTTTTGTTTCGAAAATATTGCAAATCTTTGTAGACTTTTATTTGAAAAGTTGGGTTATAATTATGTGATTGGATCGTTCCTGTAGGATCTTCATATATTGAAAAATAAAACTTAAGGATGCAGCCAAAATATTCATTATTATATATAAAGCTTTATTTTTTTATTTTTCAAGTATAAAAACACTAATAATTTATAATTTTTCATAGCTTCAACTTTTAATTTTTTCCTGCGCTTCGCTATTAATCTCAGAAGAAATTTGTGTAAAAAGAAGATTCCAATTCCAAACTTCATCGGGTTCCTTCACTAAATTTTCATTGTACAGTTTGTCTGCGAGAAGAGAAAGACTGATACCATCCAATGATGTAAATGCTGCATTTTTCACCAAATCAGTATCCAATTCCTCGTAAGCAGTCATTCTATTTGCATTGATTCTAAAAATTATATTCCATTTAGTTTGTAATTGGATCTCGTGAGATTCTTGATAAAAAAATGCCTTTCTTTTCTTTATTAAAATAATTTAATCTGAGTTTTATGATTACACTATAAATATTAATAAGAATCTTAATGAGAATAAATAGTACTTACGTAGGAGCACTTGCAATCTCGGATGGAATATTATCTTCCTGAATTTCATCCAAATCTGGTATAACAGGAATATCTAAAAATACAAAGATTAATAATGTCGAAGAAATACAGAAACAAATATTTAAATTTTTCATCATCTTTTTGCTGATTATTTTACATTATAATTAGAATTATACAATATGTGGATAAATATATACATACGTGAAATATTATGGCAGATCTGCTCAGTGGGTGTTATCACATTGTCGTAAGCTTCAAGTAGCTTCTGTATCAGACTCCCGATTGCGCCTGCATCTTCGTGGTTCGTTTTACGACCTCGGATTTGCACGCCTGCACGGTTGAGTCTTCACGTCGCTCCTCGAAGTACCGCGATTTCCAAATTGGGGGGCAATCGAATAGGTCAGACGAGGTAATTTGTCGCTTCCATATAAAGGCACCGCAGATAGTGGTACGCCATTTTTTGTATTTAACCACAATATATTTTTTATGTTTCCTTCCTTTACCTCTAATTTCTCTTTAAAATTTATGAAAATTTATGTTCAGTAATTAATAAGTTGTTTTGTTTCGAAAATATTGCAAATCTTTGTAGACTTTTATTTGAAAAGTTGGGTTATAATTATGTGATTGGATCGTTCCTGTAGGATCTTCATATATTGAAAAATAAAACTTAAGGATGCAGCCAAAATATTCATTATTATATATAAAGCTTTATTTTTTTATTTTTCAAGTATAAAAACACTAATAATTTATAATTTTTCATAGCTTCAACTTTTAATTTTTTCCTGCGCTTCGCTATTAATCTCAGAAGAAATTTGTGTAAAAAGAAGATTCCAATTCCAAACTTCATCGGGTTCCTTCACTAAATTTTCATTGTACAGTTTGTCTGCGAGAAGAGAAAGACTGATACCATCCAATGATGTAAATGCTGCATTTTTCACCAAATCAGTATCCAATTCCTCGTAAGCAGTCATTCTATTTGCATTGATTCTAAAAATTATATTCCATTTAGTTTGTAATTGGATCTCGTGAGATTCTTGATAAAAAAATGCCTTTCTTTTCTTTATTAAAATAATTTAATCTGAGTTTTATGATTACACTATAAATATTAATAAGAATCTTAATGAGAATAAATAGTACTTACGTAGGAGCACTTGCAATCTCGGATGGAATATTATCTTCCTGAATTTCATCCAAATCTGGTATAACAGGAATATCTAAAAATACAAAGATTAATAATGTCGAAGAAATACAGAAACAAATATTTAAATTTTTCATCATCTTTTTGCTGATTATTTTACATTATAATTAGAATTATACAATATGTGGATAAATATATACATACATTAATTATAATTAATATATGCTGTTTAATATAACTGATTTTAAATCAATTTACCATCTTGTTCTTCCTTCTCGACAGCTCGAAAACGCTCCCTAAGGAACAGTCTATCAATGACTACAGTTGTTTGATTTTTAATCTTATGATCTTATATACTCACTGTTCAACAATATTCGACGTCATCTTTGATCTAGGCAATGAAAAAGACTCAAAATTAATAAATTTAATTTATTCATATTTTATTATTAACCTTTCACACAATTGTTTATTCTGAAATGTGGATAAATTCTATTTCATAACTAATCCAAACTTACTTGCCACTTTTTAGTTCATCGCCCCAGCCGGTTTTCCTAGAACGAGGTGGAACTATCGGTCTTTGCATAGGCACAGACTTTCCAGATGACAAAGAAATTGGACTCTCGAGAGGATCATCGTCAGATCTATTCTCTTCCTGCAAGTTATTCTGACCTGCACGTCTACCTAAGCGAGGTATCAACTAGAAATTGATTAATACAATTTTTTATTTAAACTATAGTAGTTTTCCCATCAAAGAATTCTCTAAAATTATTTTATCAATTATCAAAATTTTCAATAATCGATTTTTTCATTAATACTATTGAAATATAGAGAGAAATTACTTTCTTGGAAGTGATCTCAAGATCAGTAGCCCAGTCCATTTTAAATCTATGTAACTTTTTTTTCGATATATGTTCTATAGGGAACCAAGCATTCGGAGCCAAGCATCAAAGTAACGGGAGAGAGTTCCTATTCTAAGGCACTTTGAATCAGACTTCACGATGCATTTGACAAGAGTATGTGACAGTTATTAAATACCATATGTTTGCAAGCGGTAACCATGACAACTTTACGACACGTTGCATGTGGGGTTCGTTCGGAAATCTATCCACAAGGTAAAATAGCATTTGATTGACCAATCAACAAGAAATCTTGGTTCTTTTACTTTACGTCATAAAAACAAATATGGCGGAAAGCTTCTTCTGGCTGCGCGTTTTATGCTGCAGCTACAGTATCTGCTCTATTTTTGAAAAGTTTAAGAAAAGTTCCCAAGAATTTTTCCATCAAATTGTCAGTCCAATAAATATGACAACCAAATTATCGGATTTGCTCTTTAAGAGAATATTTCTCTTGGCTCGTTTTCCCTCTATTCATCTCCATTTTAGCGGACACACGAGTCCGAGAGGTTAGTTTTTTCGCTATTTGATGTTTATTTTAAGAAGAGCATACATTAAGCGAGCAAATAACGCACAGCATGTTTATTAACAAAGTGTTTGATTTGATCCAGCTTGCTCATATAAAGTAGCAAAGAGTTTTAAAGTTTGATTCTCTCGCATTTGTTATCCGTTGTTTATTCGTTTGGCCTATACACAAATATCAAAATCGTCTCATAATGATCGATAATACAAACTAACTTCCATACCATATATGAAAATACTGCTCTTATTCAATCACTGAAATTTAGTAATATTGGATATGGTTAGTACTTCAATGGACGATTGCTTGAGAACACCCTGTGATGTTGGCACATTTTTCTTTTTTTTTTAACATTCTATTATTACAACAAAACAAATAACATGGTAATAGTTTCAATTTTCTCTATGCTCACGTTGATTAACTAGTTAACAATTCTTAAAACATTTATTTTTGTGCAAAAAATAAAAAAGAAATAATTTCTATGCAGCGCGTAGTATTCTCAAGCGGTCTTTTTAATGTAATTTGTTAACGTGAAATTGGGATGTGCATATACAATATTCATAGAAAAATGAATAGGAAAATAAATTAAAATTTATTATATATTGCTCTGTTTACAAAGAACAATAAAAGTTAAAGTCAGGCTTTTAATATTGTTTGTAATTATTGGTCCTTTTTTTGGTACGATTGCGACGACATTGTATCTCAATAATTTTTCGCATTTTCCTCTTGATATTCATACTCCTCGTCATCCGGATTTACCTTGCAGTCATCGTCGTTATTTGGTACTCTCACTTTATTGTATCTATACAATAACAAAAATATATGATACATGTTATTAATATACGCTCGGTCTTGAATCTAATGATCGAATTCTAATTTACAGAGTGGGAATATCTGACATCGCGCGTTATACATGAATGCATACCTAGTAAAGTCGCCTTTACAAAGCCGCCAAGGTAGCAGATCGATCTTGTCGTGCAGTACAAATGACATATCTGGACTGACAATGTATGGTGTGCCGGCACCAGAGCCGCGTGTCAACAGTCTTCTTTCCTCGTCATAACAACAGTGCTGCGCGCCGATGCTCTCGCTTCCCTGCGCCGGTAAGGATCGCACGCAGTAAAAAGCGCCTTGTTTGTAGACGAGCCGCTGCGGATCGTTGCTCGCATCGCGCCATCGAAATTTCTTTTGTCGATTCCTGTCCCAGATCAGATCATCGTAAAAGATGTCGTTGGGATATCGACAAGGGCACGCCGGTAGTTCGTCGATGGATCCTGCAGGATATATCCAAAGAGGTATTCATAAGATATATCCATAGATATATTTTCATAAATTTATACTAATATTAGGTGTCCTATATATAGATAGGGTACAGACTAGTATTATCATATTCCTTATAAATAAAATGAGCATCTTTTTTTTGACAAAATTTTCGAAAATGCATCATTTTCGATATATCTCATTGTTTAATATATCAATATAGCACATTATGTTTTCATCATTTTTATAGTAATTCTGTTATAATTAAGTATAATATTAATTTATTAATCTAATATGTTAATCTAATAATCGGTTTATACCCTACTTATATAAGATATTATATATATATATAT